AAAAAAAAAAAAAAAAAAAAAAAAAAAAGAGGGGGGAAAAAAATCTATGAAAACCAGCACGCAACACTGTGTAAGTGAGCACGGGAAGAGGAGCTGGAACTAGCAGCGGGAGTTGGGTATTTTGATATTTCCCCGGACAGCTCCGGGGGGCTCGCGTGGGGCCGGGCCGGGCCGCGGAGCGCTGAGGAGCGGCTGCGGGGCAGGGACGGGCCGGGAACTCGGCACGCCGGGAGCGACGCGCCGCAGCCGCGGGGCAGAGCGGCCCCGAGCCGCTCCCCCACCGGCCCCGCTTCCTTCCGGGCTCGGTCCCGCCCCGGAGGTGCCGCCCGCCCTTCCGGGAGGCTCGGAGGCACCGAGGCAGGGCCCGGGCAGCGCCGGGGCCGTGAGCGGCGGCGCAGCGGAGCCCGGCCCGGCTCGCGGGGCAGCCGGTGAGAGCCGCGGCACGGGCAGCTGGGGTGGGGACAGCGGGGCGGCCGGGTCCGCCGGGTATCGCCCGGGTATCGCCCAGGTCCGCCGGGTATCGCCCGGGCACCCCCGGGTATCGCCCGGGTATCGCCCGGGTCTGCCGGGTATCGCCCGGGTATCGCCCGGGTATCGCCCGGGTATCGCCCGGGTCCGCCGGGTATCGCCCGGGTCCGCCGGTATCGCCCGGGTACCCCCGGGTATCGCCCGGGTACCCCCGGGTATCGCCCGGGTACCCCCGGGTATCGCCCGGGTATCACCCGGGTCCGCCGGGTATCGCCCGGGTCCGCCGGGTATCGCCCGGGTCTGCCGGGTATCGCCCGGGTCCGCCGGGTATCGCCCGGGCACCCCCGGGTATCGCCCGGGTATCGCCCGGGTATCGCCCGTGTCCGCCGGGTATCGCCCGGGCACCCCCGGGTATCGCCCGGGTATCGCCCGGGTCCGCCGGGTATCGCCCGGGCACCCCCGGGTATCGCCCGGGCACCCCCGGGTATCACCCGGGTCTGCCGGGTATCGCCCGTGTCCGCCGGGTATCGCCCGGGTCTGCCGGGTATCGCCCCGGTCCGCCGGGTATCGCCCGGGTCCTCCCCGGTATCGCCCGTATCCCCCCGGTATCCCCCCTGTCCCCCCGGGTATCTCCCGGGTATCCCCCCGGTATCGCCCGTCCGGAGCATCGGGGCTCGGTGTCCGCCCCGCCGGGGGCTGCGCGCCGCCCCCGCTGCCGCCGTGGGCCTGGACGAGGGGTCCCGGGGCTCCGCAGGGCGGGATAAACCAACCCCGGGATAAACCAACCCCGGGAGCTTGGCAAGCCGCCTTCCTCCTCCGCCTGATTTTTTATTCGATGTGCATGTATGTGTCTGTTCCGTGGGTCTGGGCAGGTGGCTCTGACAGCCTTGCCACCATGTCCCCCCAGCCTCTTTTCCTCATGAGCTCCTTGTGGGTCAAGGAGTTTTTGGCTTTTTTTTTGTAAGTATTGCTGCTGCCCGGCTGAGGATTAAAGTCCTTTAAAAACTCAAGCCGGGGGGGAAGTTTGGAGAATTTTTTAAAATGCGTTTTGAGTGCTGTTGTGGGTGTTTGCCGTCCTCCATGTGCAGCTCCTAAAGCTAATTTTTATTATCTCTGTGTTTAATTAATTCCATGGGTCTGTGCCTGTAGTTAACAGGGTGCAGGTGTCACTGATGGCTTTACCAATAGTCCCCCACCCCAGCCTGTTTCCCTGATGAGTTCCTCGCGGATCAATGAGTTTTTGGCTTTTTTCCTGTAAGTATCGTCCCTGCCTGGCTTCCCCCTGCACAGCCGAGGATCAAAGTCCTTTAAAGTCAGCCAGGTGAAGGAGGACACTTAAGATGCTGAGCAGAGCTTTTTGGATGCTCTTGTGGGTGTTTGTCGCTGCTTGCAGAGTTCAGGTTGTTCCCTTGAAGCAGGGAGTGGCTCAGAGAGGGTGTGAGATGTTGAGGGATGAATGATGTGCTTGAATTACCAAATAAATTCTCTCGGGGTGGCTCAGTGCTGTCTGAAATCCTGCTGCTCTGTGGCAGAGGCTAGGATGGGCTGCTGGGTTGATTGAGAAGGTGTTACAGGCAAAATTAAATTGTTTTTTGCTTGGCTGGGAATTAGCAGCACTGAATGGTTTGGGGGAAAGGGTGGCATTGTGGAGGCTGTGATTTAAATCCATGATTGACTTGCCACACTTTTGTTGTTTGGGCTCATTTGAAATGACTTTTGATTCCTCACCCCAGGACTTTGGGAACTGTACTGACCTGCCTTTGGTTTTCCAGTTACCCAACAGATTTTTGAGACCAGTGAGCAAACCAGGCCAGTGGAGAAGGGCAAGTTGTTTTCCAGGAGCAGTGCTTTATTCAGGAATTGGATGTGCTGGCCTTCTGGACAGGGTTACACAAGTGGTTTTTGCAGCAGGGAGGATTAGGAAGAGAACTGTAATTCAGTGGAATGTTTTGCTGACCAAGAAAAAGCCCAGAACAACACATAGTAGAAAGGGGGAATAGGATATAAAGCCAATTATACCAATTCCTAAGACTGCTTTACACAACAAACAGATCATAAGCTTGAAGATAGTCCGTGATTCTGGTATTTAATTTTGTTCTGTGGTGTTATTTAAGCTAGAACAGCCTTTCTCAGCTCCTTCTTTCCTTGCTGTGTAATCCCCAATTATACCTGGGGCTTTTTTTCCCTGATAATTAACTACTTGTGATCTAAAACCAGACATAGAAGTCTTGTTGGTGAAGTCCTGCTAAAGTGCCACTTGTAACAAGTCAGGTACAAAGGGTATAAAATGTTTTGAAGTTTTTCTCTGAGGTTTTAGGCAACTTAATTTCCATCTGTGTCCAGGTGAGTGTGGTTGGCAGGCAGTAGTGTGTAGGAGCCTGTTGCTGATGTGGCTGAGGAGATTTTAGCAGTTTAAGCTAATCTTTTTACTGCGACCTGAGCTCCCAGTCGAGCAGCACAAAGAGTTTTCAGATGTTTCCTGTGATTTCGTTGGAAGCACAGTTGTGGGTCACATGGAGAGATGGTGAGACACAGCCTGGTCATGGGGACCAACCAAACCTGTACCCCCGGGCCTGGGCTGACATTTGAAGGGAAAACACAACTCCAAGCTGAGCAATTGGAGAGCTGCAGCCTTGTGGCCATCAGGATTTTGGAGGTTGGAAGCTGTGGCTGCAGTTACCTCTCCAAATGCCAGGACCAGCTCTGTGGTTTTGTTTGTAGTGGTGCTCAGCAGACTGTTTCTTTTCTTGAGACTGTTTTTTTAGCAGCCTGCACTGTTTATCCTACAGCTGCTGTAGCTGAAATTCTGTAATTGCAGGGAAGATTTCACATTAAAAGTGTGAGCACTGCAGAGATAACACCGGGTTTCTTGCCTAATTCCTGACTTGTCTAATGGCTTTTGTATTTGCTGTTCTCCAGCCTGAGCTCATCCTGCCCCACCCTTTCCTTGGGAGGAAATTAGCTCATGGTTAATTACCCTGCTGCTAATTACAAGCCTGAGTGTTTGGGGTTCCACCTGAATCACGACTCTTTCAACACGTAGGTTGCTGCTTTTCAGAATTTTGGGGCGTTTGCGTCAGTGGTTCTTTGCAATAAATACATTTTAAGGGCACTTTTCCATTGGCAAAATGCACCTTGACTTCATCCTTCCACCCCTCAGTTTTGATGCACTTTCTAACCTACCTTCTAAATCTATTTTTAGTAATTAAAGTTGTCTTGTTCTGAATTTTAATGGAGTATACAGGCACTAGTAAAACGTGAACCAACAGCAGTTCCTGTAAGAATTGTGTGTTTGGAGGCCTCCCTGGTTTTTTTTCTTCTTTTTTTTCTGCTTTAAAATTCCATTTCTGGGAACGGCCATTAATGACCAGAGAGTTGCAGTGAGCTCATTGTGAACACTCTTTGGGGCACTTTGATATTTTTGAATTAGAAGAATTCAGGTTGTTCATTAAGTGCTGGAGTGACTTTTGAAGAGCTGAATCACGTTTGCTTCGGCCCAGTGGAAAGACTGCTGGGGGTTGTTGCTAATGCTTCTGCCAATTTTTTTTTTTTTTTTTTTTTGAGAAAACTTAATTTTAGGGAGGGAAGAAAAAAAAAACAAACCAACAACAACAAAAAAAAAACCCCAACCAAACCCAAAACATACCCACAACCCAAAGCAAACCTGCCTGTGCCCAGTCTGTGTTTTGCTGGTTTTAGATACATTTAATTAAGTTGTTACCAATGCTAAAACTCATTTATAGAACTTCAATTATAGAATTAAAGCTACTCCTTTAGTTTCCAGCATTAGTTTGTGGACTAGCTTCTTCACAGCTTGTAATAATTATAAATTGATTGCAATTAGCTCTTACTGAAGGTGTTTATTGATTGATTCAGCAAGACCCTTTCTGTTCAGCCCTGAATAAGAGCTTTTCCAGCCAGCTCTCTAAAGGTGACCTCAGCAATCCAGCACCAATAAATAGTTTATGAGCCAGCTGGGATCTCCTCACAGGCTGCCCTGCTAATAAAGGTTCAGATCCTTTTGCCTGCTCCATCCTGGCGAGGCAGGGAGGTGGAAAAGAACCAGAAGAACAACCTGGGGGTGTTGGAGCCTGTGGTAAATCTGTGCTGCTCCTAAAGCACCTTTCACCCCCTGCTTTTTCCCAAGCTAAAGCTGTGTCTGCAGTGCTTGTCCTGTGAGAATTGTGATTCTTGCTGAAAAGGTGTTACGTGAATTTAGTCTTTCATGTGTGCATTAAATCGGATCCAGTTTGGGTTGGAGGAGCTCTTTTTCCCTGTCCAAAAGCTGAGGATACATCTGCTCTTTGCTGTGATTGATACCTGGTTTAATACATTTAACAGGAATTTTGCTGGTTGTTTCGTAACTTGGTCTGTGTGAAAATTAGAATTTATTATTTTGCTGTTACTGACTGGAGGAATGATTGCTGCTCCTTCAGTCCCCTTTATGGATCACTGGCAAAAATGGCCTTGGGATTTATGGGCTTGGAAGAAAATTGGTGTTTCCTGTGTCTTAACTCTCTCTGTGTTAGTCTCAAATGTGGTTCAAAGTGTGTGACGGGGTAAGTGGAGCGGCTCTCAGGCAGAATATTTTGCAGGAAATTTGGTTTTGCTGGTTTGGGTTCCTGGTGGTGGTGACTGAAACCCTGCAGTGTTTGCACACATGTTCTCATTTCAACTTTACAGAGCCACAGAGGGCAGGCAGCTGCTTTGTCCTTCCTGAAAAATAGTCTGCGAGTCCCCATTTTCTGAAGGGAGAGCTGTGATTTATTGGAGGTTCTTTTGGATGAAAAAATTGAGAGGTTGAGCAAGGATGAGAAGGGTCTGAGTTGGTATTGCCCTTCTTAAAAGGTGTTTGCTCTAAGTGGGTGAATAAAAAGGAAAAAAATTATCTAAGTGTGGATGCAGCAAGAAAAATATGTTGATAGGAAGATGTATTTGAAAGCTTCAGGATAAGTTGCATTAAAGCCAGTAGAAAGCTGGTTTTGAATTAAACCACAGTGATTTGGTGATATTTTTTTTTTTTCCATCACAACAAAATTACTGTGAGATGGTTTAAAAAAGCTGGAACAGCTCAGATCTGTCACTGGAGACCTTTGATGTGCAGCCCTGCAGACAGATCTGATTTCATGTGAATCACAGGCCTCATTTCCTTTTGATTTCAGTAGAATTTGCAAAAATAAAGCTGGGCATGCAGAAGAAGGAGGTTCAAAGTGGGAATTCTCATGGCAGCAGGGCAGGGAGCATTTTGGTGTCCACAGCCAGCAGTGGGACACCTCTCCAGGCTGGGATTATCCCAAATCAATCACTCAGGAGCACCCACAGTGTGTGAGGTGCACCTCAAAAATCATAGACAAGAGTTGGGTGATTTCTGGTTTTCCATTTCAGTGGAGAAGGGGAAACCAGAAGCTTTTACTTGCAATTAATTAAGTAAAGGCATTTAATAAGTTAATTATTAAGTGTGAGAGCCCATTGTTTCTCTAAACTCTTTGAAGGGGTGTTGCTAATTAACACAGATAAGAAGTGTGATGAGGTCTGGTCCTGGCACAGAAATGCTCAAAAGAAGATTTTGTCCTGTGGTAATTGTGAGGTGGCATTCTTGCCTTCCCTGATGAATTCACAATGTTTTGAAACACTCACTAAGCAAAGCTGTGATGAAGATATTTTAAATTACATCAAATTTTTGCTCCTGGGAGGGAGATGTGCTTCTTGAAGTGCTTTAACTGGGATAGAGGAGGTGCAAGAAGGATGTTTGGTGCAAAGCACCTCTCCAAAATTTTACTTGTTAATGTTATTTATGATTTTCTGGTATTTTATTGTTCTTCTGGATTCGATTTTTCCTTTTTTTAATGTGGAAATTTGTTACAGGTGGTATAAAGGTGTTTGGAGTTGTCTGCTCTCCAGCTCCAGAAAAACAACAAATTTGTTTTTTTGCCTTTCAGTTGTGCTAGAAGTGAGCTTTGCATTGCCATGCATTCAGAGCAGGAGTGAAAACAAGAGATCTGACCATGCAAATTGTGTGGTGTGACTGTGCAAACACTGAGGAGGTGATTGCTGGGTAGGGAATGATCACCTTTAGCTGGAGCGGGAGGGAGAGAAGGGAACAGAGGAAGGGAAAAAAAGCATTTTGAATACTCTACAGTTCCCACAAAACATTTTTATTATGTAAGATTATAATTATAAATCTATAAAAATAGATTATTTTATATACTATATTATGTATATTATATAATGTTATGTATAGTATAATATTATATAATATATAGTATAATAATTATATAATATATAGTATAGTATATATAGTATATAGTTATATTAAAATTATATTATTTTATTGTATTTTATATAGTGTGTTATATTGTTTATATTGTATTATATTACTGATACAATATATTATATAAATATTATTAATGTAATAATGAACAATCTATTTTGTTATGAATATAAATAATTATGTGATATTATAATTATTTTATTATTTAAGATTTGGCAGTGATTTACTTACCGAAAATTAATTTGAGTGCTTATTTTTCCACATTCATTTTCTCAAAACCCGAGCTGATTTCCTCATTCAAATATTAATGCTGACCTGCAGAAATCAGCTGGGAAACTTTTTTTTTTGTTTGTTTGTTTGCAAGGACTTTTTGGGTGTGCAGGGAGGTGAAAGTTTCAGCTGTGTGAGCAGCATGTGACTCCTCCCTGTGGCTCAGGGTGACTCCTTTGTCCCCAGTGCAAACACCCCAGGGAGGGCAGGGCTCTGCCTCTGCAGCTCCTTGCAGCCCTGCTTTGCTCTCTGCACTCTGTACAAAACTTTAATTTTATTTTCACGTGCCCAGGGGGTGCCAGAGGGAGCTGTGGGGTGAAGCTCCGTGGGCACAAAGGGGATTTTTGTGCCCCTCTGCAGGGTGGAAGTGCCCAAGGGGTGTTGGGGTGGCACAAGCAGGGTCAGGGGGTTGATTTCATTCCTTTAATTTTCAAATCAGAGCCTGGAATATGGTGCTTTGGAATAAGAGCAGAACTTTTGGAATCATTGCAGTTCCAGAGTTGTAACTGGCCTGGTGGGTGACAGGATTTTATAGGGTTTTGTTTCCTGACAGAGATCCCTGTAACATTTCTGGGAGCTTTATGATATGAGAATATTTTGTTTATTGTGTCTTTGTGGTTTCCAGTGAAAACATTGACTGATCAGCTTCACATCAATGGCAATTAAACATTTGATGCATTTTTATGGCGTTTTTTTCTAGGACAGGCACCTGCAATAGAGCTCTCTGACCAAAATGCTGCTGCAGCTTCTGCTTTTAGGAAGTGCTCTGGAAACTGAATCAGTGAAGAGTTTCAGGCTTTTGCTTCCCCTTTCTTTTCAGAATTGTTGCTCAAGGACATCAGTGATGTTCTGGGAATGGCCCGAGTGTGCAAATGCTGCCAAAATGCAATTCCTGCCTAGGCTGTGCAGCTGACACACACTGAAAATTTCATTTCTGAGCTCTCGGGTGTTGGCAGCCAGGAGCTCCCACATAGCCCTTCCCTGAAAAATCAGCAAATGAAACTAAAAAATTTTTGTGAAAGCAATGTATTTATGTTTCTCAGATATTTCTCCATATGGGAATGAAGTAAAGCTCTCAAATATTTAAAATGTCTTTTTTTTTTTTCCATTTTGCCCTGCAGCAGCACAATATTGTTTGTCAGACTTTTCAGTGGGAAAGAAAAAGAAAATATTCAGCTGCTCTCCCATCTATAAAAACGAGATCACATAGCTATAAATTATGTCATTAAGAAATTGATTCCCTTAATGTGCATGTCTCTACAATGAAACTATTTTTAGGTTATTTTTAGAAACTCATTATTTCTTTCAAAAATAGAAAAGTGGAAGAAATCTTAATACTTACGTAGATAAGATGGAATATTTAATTTCTTCCCCCCTCAGAGAAAATTGTGTGTTTCCTGTTACTTTGCTCAAAATAACTTGATTACATTAGTGGGAAATGTTAAACATTATCAGTCTTTTAAAATGGATAACTGAGCTTGGAAGAAAACAGCTGGAATTTCCTGTAGTAGAAACCTCTCATTGACAATTGTGCATATTTTTATTTTTGCTGGATGATCCAGAGGAGAGTTTGGAGTGGAATTTCAGGGGAAAAGAGGATAACTCTGAGCCAGTTACTGGTGCTGTTCAGTTTGAGAGAATCCCTTCTCCTCTTGCTTTCCATACGTGGCACCTCTGGAATGGCAGGAAGGAAAAGGAGCTGCATTTACTGGACAAAACCTTGCTGTGCTATTTCTGCTGTCCCTGTTTGTCAATATTGGGGGGAAAAAAAAAAAAAATCAATATTTTAATAGACACACCTTACCCTTGCTGCTGCAGGTGATGTTGTGCTGCTTTTCTCCTGGATCAGCATTTCCCCCTGGAAGCAGGGAGCTGGGATGTGGGGTGGTTTCTGTCAGGAAAGGAAGAGGAGGCTGGATGCTCACTGGATGCTCCAAGGCAGCCTTGCCACGCTGCTGGTGTGGGCAGGAGAATCTATTTAGTTGCAGTCACTAAATAGAAACCCCAGGGCTGCGTGCAGGCAGTTTAACCCTGGCAGAACTCGGAGGAAATGGGGCTGGGCTGTGATTCCCCCTGGCCCCTTCGGAGGCCACACACCCCAAAGCCTCACCCGTGGGGCTCTGTGCGGGCCCAGTCTCAGAGCACAATATGTTCTGTGTGCTCCCTTGTTGGCTTTTGGAACTTTATTTCATTTTTTCCCCCGTTGCTTTGTGCTGCTAGCTGGCAGAACAAGGTGCTGGTGGGAGCAGGGCCTTGGGCCTTTGTCCCCTTGGTGTGGGACTGTCACTTCTGCCCTGGGCCATGTTCTGGACCTTTGTGAGGGACACAACCCTACAAAGATGTGCTTTGGGACTTTGTCCCCTTGGTGTGGGACTGTCACTTCTGCCCTGGGCCATGTTCTGGACCTTTGTGAGGGTCACAACCCTACAAGGACATGCCTTGGCAATTTGTCCCCTGCCTGTGGGACTGTCACTTCTGCCCTGGGCCATTTTCTGGACCTTTGTGAGGGTCACAACCCTACAAGGACATGCCTTGGCAATTTGTCCCCTTGGTGTGGGACTGTCACTTCTGCCCTGGGCCATGTTCTGGACCTTTGTGAGGGTCACAACCCTACAAAGATGTGCTTTGGGCCTTTGTCCCCTTGGTGTGGGACTGTCACTTCTGCCCTAGGCCATTTTCTGGATCTGTGTGAGGGTTTGTAGGGCTGTGACCTGTGTCACAGCTCTACAAAGACGTGCCTTGGCACTTTGTCCCCTGGCTGTGGGACTGTCACTGGTTCCTTGGAGCACTCTGGAACTGTATGAGGGTCACAACCCTACAAAGATGCGTTTTGGGACTTTGTCCCCTTGGTGTGGGACTGTCACTGTTTCCCTGTCGCTTTCTGGGGCTGTGTGAGGGTCCCAGCCCTACAAAGATGTGCTGTGTGTCCCTGGCTTTGGGGCTCCTGGTTATGTAACTGTGCCCTTCCTCCTGTGGCACTCACTCAGTTGCTATGGAGCTGTTAAATAATTCAAGCAGGTGACTCCTTTCCAAAGGCAAACCCTCAGAAGAAACGATTTCTGGCCGGCTGGTGCCACGTTTGTGTTTTTAACCCTTCTCCTGTTCCTGCAGGAGGAAGATGAACCTGAAATCGGAGCGCAGGGGGATCCACGTGGACCAGTCGGAGCTGCTGTGCAAGAAGGGCTGTGGTTACTATGGCAATCCTGCCTGGCAGGGCTTTTGCTCCAAGTGCTGGAGGGAGGAATACCACAAGGCCAGGCAGAAGCAGATCCAGGAGGATTGGGAGCTGGCAGAGCGGTAAAGAACCTTCTTTTCTTCCTTCAGGGTGACTGCACCAAATTCTCTTCTTGCCTCCTCTTTCCTAGTCCTCCTTGCTCAGGTGCATCACGAATTCCCCAATTTGACCTTTTCAGCAGGAATTCAAACCTTCCTTTTGATGCAAAGATGGATGTTTATGACATTCTGCTATAAGAGATTTGAAAAGAAAATGTAAACAGAGCCCAATCTCCCAATGAATACTTTGAGCTAATTTGCATATGCAAATCTGTATTTCTACCTAGCAGTTAAAAGGGTTATAGGGACAATTTTGATTAAATATCCTCGGAGATGGCAGTTATTTTCTTGGGTATAGACAGCACCATGGTTTTACATTCCAGCTGCTGATTAAAAACTGATTTTAGTCTTGTCTGTGGTCATTCTTATAAACTGCAGGCTTAAGCCCAAGAACACCAAAGCTTTAGTTTTGCTAATTTAGGTAATTGTTCAATCACTTATTTTCTGTGAGCCAATCTATTTTCCTCATGTGATAAATGCTTGACCCTGAAAATGGAAGATGTGTTTTCAGAAGTAGCAGCACAGAGGTCATGTCATTGTTTTCCTCTGCCCTAAATGTCTTAAACAGTTAATAAAAACTTTATTATTAGGGCAAATATTTACACTGCCAGTCTTGGATCATCTCTAAAACAAAGTGGGGTATTTAAGGAATTCTTTAATGAGTAGCTGGGAGATGCTAAAGGCACAGATAAGCTGTGATTGTTTGTTGCAGTGAACAGACAGGTTTGTCAGCACTGATAAGATACAATTTCTTCCTCAAGAGATTGCAGATCCCAGACTATTTATGGTCCATCCTGAGCTGGAGGGATGTTTAAAGACAATTGCTCAGCATCCTGAAGGGTGATAGAATATTACCTATTTGAAAGGGTGCAGGGTTGGTGAGTTTGCCCTCCCCTACTTTAAATCAAAAACTTGGTCTTTGACTCACCCATTCAAGCAGATATTGATCACCAAAGCAGATTATGACAACAATGATCTATTTCCCAAAATATTCCTGAGACTGGGACAGGGTATTTTGCTTTTGTAAGATGGGGAAGGACTGCCTGAGGCAACAGCTTGGGGAACTTGGTGTGAGGCAGGGAGGAAAGCAATGAAATGAATCTGGTGCTGGAAATCCTTCCCTGTGCCTTTAGAGAACTCAGAGTGTGACAGGAGGGGAAGGTGACCATGCTTAGAAATCAGTTCCTTTGCCTTGTTTCTAAGCCTTTAAATCAGACCTGTGTTTTTCCAACTCCAGGCTCCAGCGTGAGGAGGAGGAAGCCTATGCCAGCAGCCAGAGCACCCAAGGGGCACAGTCCCTGACCTTCTCAAAGTTTGAGGAGAAGAAAACCAATGAAAAAACAAGAAAGGTCACTACTGTGAAGAAGTTCTTCACTGCTTCCTCCAGAGCAGGAGCTAAGAAGGGTAACTCTCCTTTGCTTTTCATGCTTCTGTGCATTTTAAAATGAAAAGTTTTTGTTCTAAAAGGCAGATTAATGCTCTGTGCTTTGACTTTTAAAAGTTGGAATAGTGATGCTTCTGGAGAGTGATTGCTACTGAAAACACAGAAAAATGTGAGTTATGCCAAACAATCTGTTAAATAGGACTGCTAAACCTGTGTTTATATGTGATTTTACACAGAACAGCAGACAAGTGTTCCTGGTGGTGGCACTGCACTGCTGAGAGGAAATTCCCTGTTCCTCTGGCACACATTCCAAAGAAACTCCCGAGTCAGCCATGGTGTCACACCAGGATTTAGGGCTGGAAGGGGAATTCCTCCTGGAGGGAGCAGCAGAGAAGGTGCTGGCTGTCAGTCACCTCAACAAACTGCTGTGTGTGAGTGTGATAGAAATATCACCCTCCCAGTGAGAGAAAATATCAGCTGGTGCTGCCAGAGAGCCTCACTTTGACAGGAAGAAATGGGATGTGTGAGCAGGGTGCCTTGAGCTGCACATAAATGTGAGGCTGGCAGTGTTTGTGTGGGCTGGGAAAATGGAGTTTGTGGCTGGCTGGGTGTTTGCTCTGCAGAATGTGTTACAAGCAGGAGTGATGAATGGCACTGCTGGCTTGGCATAGCAATAGCTCACACGGGCAAAGCTGGGAAATGCTGGGCTGTGGAGGAGGAATTCCAGGAGGAAAAGCAACATTGATCTGTCTTAACCTTAGAGACAATGCATTTCCTTTATTTGAAATTCAACATTTTTGTGGTTAGAGTTGTCCTGGTGCATGGCAGCAGCTGGTGACACGAGGCATTCATTCACCTGCATTAAACCTTCTTTTGTTAATGTTCATTCTTCTCACTTTCCATCTTTTCTTTTTTTTATCCCTTCACCAACCTGTCCTGCCATGCTCCTGCTCTTGGTGCCCTGCTTGCTTTGGCCTTTTTATTTCAGCAGCTGAAGAGAAAACCCCTAAGCAAGGACAGCTTGGGAGGGAGAGAAATGCTGATAACATTCTCAGGGATTTGAAGGAGATTTTTACTCCCTCCTGGGAACTGTCTTCCCCTTCTGAAGGTAATGCAGCACAGCCTGGGCAAGCTGTCTGCCTGGTTTTAGTAAGCTTGGCTCTTAGTTGGGCTTTGCTGAACACAAACTAGGGTTGTGCCAGTTGTAACCCGTGCTCTTCAACATGAAGGTGGCTAAAAAGCAAGTCCAGCATCCTGAGGTGATGTGGAATCTCTAAACCAATCCTTTGCTTTTTAGCAGGGAGTCACAGGAGTAAAGCTGAAGCTTCTTTTAGCTCCATTTCAGGATTAGGATTTAAAAAATTAATTTTGTAAGAATTAGCTGGATCTTGTGCTGCTTTGTGTTTTTAAAAAAAAACAATTTCCAGGTTGCTGTTACAAATCTGATTATTGTGAGTTGAAACCACTTCAAGAACTGTGGCATTCTCAAAACATCTCCAGATGTTTATTATATAAACCAAGAAGAAAATTTCCCATCAAGAGGAGACACTGCTTTCATTTAAACCAAAAGGACACCAAACCCCTTGATGCAAACAGCTTTAAGAGCTCATCCTCCATTAATTATTTTCCATCCTGACTTGTTCTGCTGGCTAAAGAAATGTGCAGATGTTTATTAAATTATCACAGGAAGGTGATGAGGGCTGTGTGTGACAGAGCTGGGGACAAACCCTGTTTCACATTCCATGCTTGGACTGGCTCCGTGGCCATGGCACAACCATAGTGAATCCCTGGAGTGCTCCTGTTCTGCTGTGACAAGTGGCTTTCCTGTAGAAAGATTGAAATATTAATTATGTTTATTCTTTGTGAAGCTGAGCCTTCCTTCACTCTTCCCATGCTCGCTCCTGGCGTTTTGGCATTTTCCTCTGCTGGGCTCTCTTTAACTTTTTGGAAATTCTTGGCTGTGATCAGCTTCTTTTTAGTTAGACTGGATTCTCTGAGAACACAGGGCAAACCTGAGGATATTTTATTGCTGGAAGTTCATTTGTTCCTGCAGCCCTTGGTAACCAGTACAGATTAATTTTCCTTAAATCAGGATTTCAGCTCAGAGGTTAGTGAAGTTGCAACTACAACTAATTAATTACAACAAGTAATTCTTGGTGTAACTCATTGAAAGACAGTTCATTCTAACTAATATTCACTTTTTAATACTTAATATTAATCTGCCTCAGTTGACTACGTCTCTCTAGTAACTAAACAATCTAGTTTGAATTTGTGATTGAAAAAGTAATAATCACATTCCTTAAGGTCAAATAGTAAAATGAGGCTTATTATGTTTATAAAAGAGTGAAGTCATTGTTGAAGTAACTAAATAGACCTTCAGCTGTACTGTGAAATGAGATCAGTGACTAATCATGGAAGAAATAGCTGATAATTCTGCCTTCTTTGTTTATTATTTCCAAGTAAGCTCTCTGCTTCTCTAATGACAAATTTAATTAATGGCCACCCTTCAGCTGGAATCCTGTGTAGGATTTGGTGTTCATGCAGTGAGTGAATCTTGGGTATAAAGGCAGTGGAAGGAAATCCCCTCTGGAAGAGTGTCCCTGAGTAACTAAAAAGGAGTTGGGTTTGCACTCTCTGTCTCAATTGCTGCAGTTGGAATTTAAATATTTGCATGACCTTTTCTGTTCTGGGCACTGGAGTACCAGAGGTGCTCTGATGGTGCCTGGCCAAGTTATTATATATATATGGAGCTCTGGTCAGAGGAGCAGAGTTTGGTACTCACTGGGTGACACAACTTTGGATTTTCTGTAATGCTTGATCTCTTCAAAAACAAATAACCAAAAAAAAAAACCCACTAAGCACCCTCAAATCCAAATAAAACCAACTGAAACATACTAATCCCATTTCTTTATTTTCCCTTTGGAGTTGTGCATGCTTGTTGAAAGCAGGGTTTCTGTGCATGGGAAGTGTTTTCAGGTTGAAAGCCATGTTTGTCTCTTGCTGACCATGAATATTTTCATGTTTTCTGTCTCTCTGCTGCTTGCCTCTCACCACGTTCATTTCCACCACCTCTGTTCAATCCCTCCATTTCCAACAGCGTTGGCTGGCAAGCTGAAAGGTGGGTGAAGGTATTGGAGCAGCACAGTTCACTTGGAACTTGGAAAATCAGATGGTTTTGTGGGAAAACCCCCCGTGGATGCAGCTCTGGCATCTTGCAGCGTGTGTTCCTTGAGCAGAACTGCCCTGAGCTGCTGGGGAGCCTCTTGTGTTGGTGCAGGGAGTGTGGAGGTCAGGGACAGAGGGAAAACCACCCCATTATCTTTAGGAATCTGCAGGATCCCAGCTGGAAACCTTAAATGGAGATGTCTGACCTGGGAGTGACTGTAAAACCCAAAAGCAGCCCTACGTTGCAGTCACTTCCAATGTAAAAAGGCCGTTTGGGTGAGTGGGGCTGTGGTTCTAAATGTTCCACTTCAGTGGGATACTCAGTTTTCCTGGAGTTGTGTTTAATAATTATTGCTGTGTTTAATAATATCCAGCAGTCCCCTGGCAAAGCTTGAGAAACACAATTTACACAACTGCTCATTTACAATTTACATTTACACAGTTACAAATGACCAATTTGCACTGAAAAATTGAAAAAAAAAAAAAAAGCTGGAAAAAGAAAACCAGTGATTGGAAATGATAAAACCTTTCTGTACTCATCCATCGGTGTAAAAAATTGAGCTGATGTGCCCTGATTTTTGCCAGCAGAGATCCAGGAGGCCAAAGCTCCCAGTCCTTCCATCCACAGGCAGGCCAGCATTGAGACAGACAGAGTGTCCAAGGAGTTCATAGAATTCATCAGGACATACCAGAAGCCTGGCCAGGATATCTACAAGCAGTGCAAGCTCTTCTTGGACACCATGAGTCATAAAAGGGTGAGCTCTGAATGCCTCTTGTCTCAATAAAATGGGAAGATTGGGGAGAGAGGGAGGAAGTGCTGCACTTCTTCCAGCAGTTTGGATTTTCTGGAATGTGGCAGGAGCCTTCAGATGATTGAATTAATCAAAATAAGATCTAAGTGCCTTTTTTTTTTTTTGGTAGTTTGGTACCAAAGGATCCTGCTAACCCCAGAGCAGCCCAGATAAATCAATCCAGACTAAATCCCCCATAAATGAGTCTGTTCAGCAATATTCTACATTAATTATTATTCTACATCTACTTGTGGAAATTATATAAGATATCACCTAGTGAATTTTTCTCCTTTTATTGGGGAATGGAAACTTGACTGTGCTGCTTTTTTCTAATATGAAGTGTTATCTTTATTTTGCACTAAAAAAAAAAATAAAAAATTCTTGAAATATTAGTCTGTGGTGCCACCTATGGTTGGAATGAGTCAGAATTCAGCACAGCTTTTTTCCCCCCTCTTCTTCTCCCTTTCCTATTTAGTTCCTCAAATTATCTCCTCATGAGTTCTCATGGAATCTGACATTCACTCTACTTTGAAATCTTCTTTGATTTCTTTTCTTTAGGATCTGTTCATTCTGAGCACAGAGTTTGTGAGAACAGTGTGGGTTTAATTTTGGCTTCAAGCACTGAAGGTGTTCTCATTTCCTATTTCAGCCTTCTCAAAACATGGGAGTTTTTTACTACACATAAACCTGGCCTGAAATCCAGTTTCAGCAAGAGCTGAGACTTGTGTTCAGGAAAATGTCTTTTTTTTTGCCTTAGAGAATTCAGAAATCAAATTCTCTCCACACTTTTTTTAATGTATAGTTTCATTTAATGATAAAAATTGCCTTAATTAAGTTAATTTTAAACCTTGAAACTTCTGTTGTGTTCTTCAAGAGCTCAGTGAGAAAAAGCAGTGTTGTTTCAGAAATTGCACTGTGAATATATTTCACAGCAACTTTATAATCAGAAATATCTCCTGTAGAGATATTCATTTAAATAACTTATGTTCTTGGGGTTTTTATAGACTATAAATTGTCTTATAAAAAAATCAGAGGTTAAATAAGGACGAACATTTGGCTTAGTCTGAATTATTTTGTCAGTGCTCCTCAGGGGAAAAAGCCATAGCACCTGTGCTAATATCCATTTATTCAGCAAATAAATACAAATATTTCACACATTAAAAGAGCCAGTGTTGGCTTCTCCTATTTTTAACTCAAATTGAGCCACTATAAACACCTCTGATGACACCTCTGCATTCTCAGACTGTTACTGCAGCTGGGCACTCGCCTTAAACCAAAACAAAACCCGAGGTGTTGCTGCCAGCCCTTCACACTTAATCCTTGTTCCCTTGCAGGATTTAAGCATTGAGGAACAATCTGAATGTGCCCAGGATTTCTACCAAAATGTAGCAGACAGGCTGCAGACACGTTGGAAAGGTACCAAGTTCTTCTCTTCCATCTTCCTCTTCCAAAAGCAATGATGTAAAACTGAATTTTCAGTTCCAGCAAAGCGTTCCCAGCTTTCAGAAATGCTGGGAGCAGGTTCTGGTACCAGAGTTAGAATTGTTCCCTCTAGGAAGTTTTGCTGTCTAAATGTTTTTTACAAATATTTTTACTTTCTTTTGAATTCTCAGTGGAGTTCTGTTATATTAAACCCTCTTCTGACCCAGAGATGGGGTAACTGAGAGGTATTTTAAAAACTTTCATTCTATTTATAGGATAAATAGATATTTCTTATATATATATATATATATTATAATGTATATATTATATCCATTTATGGTCTCAAATTGTCTTGAATGAGTAATGTTAATTTGCTGATTATGGGATTAAACCTTCCAATGACTCCTGGAATATTTAATTTGTGGGATTTGTCTCTTTCAGTGCCCCCTGAAAAAGTGGAGAAGGCAATGGATGAGGTTGAGAAATACATCATGACTCGCCAGTATAAATATGTTTTTTGCCCTGAGACAACTGATGATGAGAAGAAAGACCTTGCTGTCCAAAAGAGGATCAGGTAAGGCTTGAAAGGAAAAATAATTGAGTAATCCCTAATTCTCTAAATGAGGTCTGAATCAACCATGTTAAAAACCTTGTGGTGTGCACAGAAAAATGGCTTGTTAAGGGTTCAAACCATTTTATTTAAAATACTGAAAGACTTAATAGCTGGGATAATGACAACCACTACACAGGGAAAATTGGCTTTTGTTAAATTACAGCCAAAAAAAAATTAAAAAAAAAAAAAAAAGGAAGTGCTTTCTCTGAAAATAAATTACATCAGTGGAATAAGCTGGTTTATGGCTGGAATAATGCCTCATTCACAGGAAGCATTCCTTTGCCCTGAGTTCAGGAGGCAGCTGGTTTCACACACCTGCATGGCACTGAGATTTTAGAGTTTTTAACCCTTTTTCTCCTGTCCCAGGGCTTTGCACTGGGTGACTCCCCAGATGCTGTGTGTTCCTGTCAGTGAGGAAATCCCAGAAGTCTCTGACATGGTTGTGAAGGCAATTACAGGTTTGTGAGTGATGAATTCTGCTTTTACAGCTTTCAATTTCACTTCTCTTGCTTATTGAGGTGATTTTTGCTGTCATCACAAAGTGAGTCCAGGCTGTTAAAAATGCAGGAATTTGGAATTTCATCTGTGGAGCAGGGATAATTTTCTACACTGAAGTGCTTAGGCTTAACTGAGCTACTTGAAACACTTCCCCACAGACAGAAATGATGCAATAAATGATGCATTAAATGATTTTTTTTTTAAGTTCATATAATTTTATTTTAAATTATATTGTTTAAATAAAATCCACCCGGTTTTGGACTAAAATCCACCCGGTTTTGGACTAAAATCCACCCGGTTTTGGACTAAAATCCACCCGGTTTTGGAATAAAATCCACCCGGTTTTGGAATAAAATCCACCCGGTTTTGGAATAAAATCCACCCGGTTTTGGAATAAATTCATGTAATTTGAGGCTGCTTTTTCGAAGGAGCAGGAGCAGAAAAATGCACTTTATTTCCATGACTATTACCCAGCAAACCCTGCTTATTCAGTGCCTGATTAATACAATTTGAATGATTCCAGGACTTTTTTTCCCCCCCCCCTCTCCAGACATCATCGAGATGGACTCCAAGCGTGTCCCTCGGGATAAACTGGCCTGCATCACCAAATGCAGCAAGCATATCTTCAATGCTATCAAAATCACCAAAAATGAGCCAGCCTCTGCTGATGATTTCCTGCCCACCCTGATTTACATCGTGCTGAAGGGGAACCCCCCACGCCTGCAGTCCAACATCCAGTACATCACTCGCTTCTGCAACCCCAGCAGGCTGATGACTGGGGAGGATGGATATTATTTTACCAACCTGGTGAGTGCAGCAGGAAAGGTGGGCTAGGGCAGCAAGGCTTGGCTTGCTTTTGGAGGTAGGAATTGCCAGCAAAGGGCATAAATTAAAATTAAATCAAAATGAATAAACAAAAATTAAAATTCATCTTCAAACGGTGGTTGAGGTTACTTATGTAACCTCAGTTTTGTCTCCTCTCTCTTCCATCTCTGCTGTCCAAATCAGAGCTTTGTTTTCTTATTTTATAACTTTCAACCCTTTATTTGAAAAGCCTCGTGCTAAGATTTGGGTGTGTTTTTATCCTGCAAGAGCAGGGCTTTCTGCTCCTCAGAGTTTGGGCTGTGCAGATGTTCCAGGTGCAAAGTCCCCTCTGAGAGGTTTTTGAAGGCCATTCATGTGTGGAGGTAAACAGGTTTTTTACAGCTTCTCCAAGAGGCATTTCTTGGTGTGCTTTGCATTTTATCATAAAGTATCCTGGAGGGAAATTACAGAGTTGAATGAAACACTTGGAATGTTAAAAGTTCATTTCAGTAGGAGCAGAGCATCCACCAAGTGAGCTGGGCTTTGACATTCCTTCAGAAAATTAATTAATTAATCTGCATGGCAGATCTCTGCTGATCAGATAATTAAATCTTAATACACTGCTCCTGTCTCCTTGGCATGTACCTGCTGTTCCCTCACCTCCCAAACACGCAGACCCTGAGGTCTGGAATATACCTTGGCAGCTCAGTTTTTGATCTCTTCAAACTTTTGGGGAGAGGAAAGAGTTGTACGAAGTGTCTGATAAAATTAACTTCTGGAAAAGCTCATTTAGGGCATTAAAAAAAAAAAAAAACATTAAAAAATCAGTTGCTGGTGTAAGAAGAGGGTAAGGAATAGAAAATGGGTGCATTGCAGTGTGTGGTGATTGCAGTCTTGCAGTGATGCTCTCTCTGCTTTGTTTGCAGTGCTGTGCTGTGGCCTTCATTGAAAAACTGGATGCTCAGTCTTTAAATCTGAGCCAGGAAGATTTTGATCATTTCATGACGGGCCAGACCTCCCCAAAAAAGCAGGATTCTGACAGTTTCTCCCCTGATGTGTGCCTGGGGGTGAAGCAGATGTGCAAAAGCTTAGATCTCCTCTCTCAGTTGAATGAGAGACAGGAAAGAATTGTCAGTGAAGCCAAGAAGCTGGAGAAAGACCTCATTGATTGGACTGATGGCATCACCAAGGAGGTGGAGGATATTGTGGAGAAATATCCTTTAGAAATCAAACCAAAAAGTCAAGCCTTAGCAGCCATTGACTCTGAAAACGTGGAGAATGACAAGCTGCCCCCACCACTGCAGCCTCAGGTTTATGCAGGATAATTATCCTCAGTCAGTTGGGAAAGGAAGGAAATTTAAGGCTTAAAAAAAAAAAAAAAAGAGCTTAAATCAGTACATTTTTAAAGGTACATTTGGTTTTTTGGATTTGTTTTTTTTTTTTTTTGGTTAAGTGTAATAAATTGTATTTATTTTAGTCCAGTAGATTTCTATTAGGCTTTGGTGGGTTTTTTGAACTGAATTTCGATTTTCTACGCGAACTGGTGTAATTTTTAAGCAACACTAGTCCATTGACATCTCTCCTGAAAGCTTCCTTCTAAGCATGCACTTAATTGTTTTTAATAATTAGTTTAACTTGAAGCCAAGTTCCAGCAGAAAAAAAAAGGTACCAATGTTAGTCTGAACTTATTGTGTAGCTGTAAAGATGAATTATATATTGTAAAATATGTAAAATTGTAAATAGATTTCAAATCTAATGTTCCAACTGTGCATGAGCTCGTGTGTGAGTGAAAATTATCTCAAAATACTCATTTTGGCACCTTTCAGTTCCATCATTTTGCAGTAAAAAGGCAAAAATGCTGTTGGAGTTTGGATAACCTGGAGGGGAGAAGTTGGAGTGATTTGCAAACTTGAAAAATCATCTTAATAATCTGTTTTGTTTAAAACAATTTATTTAAAAGATGCCATTTCTTCATTTAAATGCTCTGTCAGAACACCTGGTAGCCTTGAGTGGTGCACAAAAGTGCTGATTTTACTGCTTTGGGAGGGAATGTGGGGCCAGAAATCAAAAATATTTCAGGGATTGGAAGAAATACTTGTATTAAAAACTGCATAATGTGGAAGAAAAAAGGGAGAACAACCATGAAAGTGTTGTTCCAAAAGTGTCTCTCTCTCCAGGTCACTTCCATCAGTGGGATCAATTTTGGTTGCTTTTTTGACAATCCTGAGAAATAAATGAAGAAATAAATTCATATCATTTGAGGTTGCTTTTTAGAAGGAGCAGAAAAATGCACTTTATTTCCATTTAACATCAACGTTCTGCTCTTCAGTGACCCCTTCAGCGCCTTGAACAGCGAGCTAAAAATGGCTTTTTGTGTCACTCAAAGTCACTAAAATTCAGATTGGGGTGAAAAAGAGGAGCAACCTCTTACAACAGAACTTTGCAACTTTTTCTGTGTCATTTTGAAATCTCTTCCAGCTCCGTGCAGCCCTGACCTGAGATCTCAAAAACAAAGCTGGAACTGCTTTTCAACCAAGTTTAATTCTTGCCGTGAGGAGGAGAGCACCTGCCTGTGCTCCATTCCCACTTCACTGAAGCACTGCTCCTATTAAATTTGCACTGCAATAACTTCAGACCACGACTGTGATTTGTCCCTTTTTTTCTGGCAGCTTTTTGCCTTTTTATGAACTATGCACCACCCCTGGGATGCTCACAACAAAACAAAAAAATCCAATTATTCCGTGTGTCGCCACACCCCAAATCGCTTTGGTCAATAATCCTGGGATTTATTTCATTTATTTAGGTGCTAAATAAATCTCATCTCCAGGTTTGTCCCGAGGGAGGGGTGGGGGAAGCTAACTTGCAGCTTTTGTGTAAATGAGAGTGTTCAAATAAAAACTCTGCCCTAAACCCCTCCTCACCTTTTGTTATTCCAGTAATGATTCATGGCTGCTCCTGCACCCTCTGAGTCGGGAGAATCTACTTCTATTTCCATCAATTTCAAAATTCTCTTTCTATTTCCATCAATTCTCAAGTGTCCTTCGAGTTCCAGGCTGGGTACCAATGTTTATTTTTATTTTCTCTGCTGAGAAGTCCTTGGGGTGATGAAGCATTTGGGAAGGAGTTTTTAACTAAAATATCTCTTTTTTTTTTTTTTTTCACGTGCCATCTTGTAATCAAGGCACCACAGAAGGGGGTGTTTGGAGTAAATTAGGAAAGGCGGATTTGAGTATATTTGATGAATTTGATTTGGGTAAATATGAAAAATTTACTCAAAATTTGACTAAATTAGTCAGGAAAGGTGGATTTCCACACCTGGAGTAATCCCTGAACAGGGCTGGAACACAGAGGTGCTCACAAAGTTTGGGTGAGACCCCCAAAAAATAGCAAAGCAGAGGCTTCAATGGAAATATCATCCCTTAAAGTGATTTAAATGGAAATATCATTCCTTAAAGTTATTTAAAATACAGGTGCTGTGCTGTGCCTACAATCAGTGTCAGAAATTAGCTTTATTTTTCCTGCTAAGAGCTCAGTTTCACTGAAAACAAAGATTCTGCAGCTCCTCAGGTTGGATCTTTTTATTGTAAAATATTTCTTTGCATGGGAACTCCTGAGTTTATTTCCTTTGGTTAGGAAGATATTTTAGAGGAAATGTTGGAGTTATTAATTGTGACTGTTGCTCATTAATTCAGTGCTGTCATCTTTGGGTTTCTGACCTTTCAGATCCCCATGGGACTGCTGGAGTTTTACCTCCCCAAAGCATTTTTAGGGAATATTTTTCACCCAAATATTTTAATGCAGAAGTATTAATTTATTTTTTATAATTAATTTCTTTTAATGCAGAATATTTAGGGAAGGTTTTCTCCCAGCTTGCCCAGCTGTCTGGGACAGTAAACAGCTCCACCAGACCTCACATTATCCTCGTGGAAAGGTCATCATATTAATCGATTAAGAATACTAATTTTGTAGGAGTAATGCTAAACGTCATCAATTAATAGTACTGATTTTAATAATAGTAATATATAATAATTATAAGAATACAATATAAACCAATGATATTATTTATCACTATAAATGTAAGTGAAGGTTTGTTTGCTTTAGGGATTGAACCCTGAATAGGGTTAAATCCTTAGAGGCTATTGGAATTAGGTATTGGGGTTTATTATTATTATAAATAGGTATTTATGTCAGGAAACATGACAGAAAAGATGTTTGGGGATGTTTGTAGGAGTAATACTAAACGTCATCAATTAATAGTACTGATTTTAATAATAGTAATATATAATAAGAATGCGATATAAACCAATGATATTATTTATCACTATAAATGTAAGTGAAGGTTTGTTTGCTTTAGGGATTGAACCCTGAATAGGGTTAAATTCTTAGAGGCTATTGGAATAGGTATTGGAGTTTATTATTATTATGAATTAGGTATTTATGTCAGGAAACATGACAGAAAAGATGTTTGGGGATGTTTGTAGGAGTAATACTAAACGTCATCAATTAATAGTACTGATTTTAATAATAGTAATATATAATAAGAATGCGATATAAACCAATGATATTATTTATCACTATAAATGTAAGTGAAGGTTTGTTTGCTTTAGGGATTGAACCCTGAATAGGGTTAAATCCTTAGAGGCCATTGGAACAGGTATTGGGATTTATTATGATATTTATTATTATTATAAATAGGTATTTATGTCAGGAAACATGACAGAAAAGATGTTCGGGGATGGTTTTTGGAGGGAAAGGGGAGGGCGATGGCGGGAACATCCTGAGGGCGGCTGGAGCGGGGGCGCGGCGGCCGGGCCGGGAGGGAACGCGGTGAGGGCCCGGTGCCGTTCCCGGTTCCATTGCCGGTTCAATTCCCGGTTCCATTGCCGGTTCCGTTCCCGGTGCCGTTCCCGGTTCAATTCCCGGTTCCGTTCCCGGTGCCGTTCCCGGTGCCGTTCCCGGTGCCGTTCCCGGTTCAATTCCCGGTTCCGTTCCCGGTGCCGTTCCCGGTGCCGTTCCCGGTTCAATTCCCGGTGCCGTTCCCGGTGCCTCTCGCGGCCCCTCCCGCGCTGCCGGCACCGCCTCAATCTTGTCCGCCCCGCGCCACCGTCGGCGGCGGAGGGTCAGGGCTGCGGCCCGGAAGCGGTGGCGGAGGCGGGGCCCGGCACCGGGGCCTGGCACCGGGGCCTGTCCGTGCGTCCGGCCCGGGGCTGCCCGCGGAGCGGCCTCTCCCGCCCGCCCGTGCCCGCAGCCCCGCCAGGGCACCACCATGGTGCAGAGCCCGCCCGCACGGCAGCGCCGCCGCCTCTGAGCCCCGCCGCGGACGCCGGTAAGGAGCGGGCGGGGGGATGAGGCAGCCGTGAGGCCGCCCCGGGGCTGGGGCGGCAGCGGGAGAGCCGCCGGGGAGAGCCGCGGGCAGCGCCGCCGCCCCGAGCCCCGCGGCCCGCCGGCGTTCGGCTCGGCGGCGGGGCCGCGGCCTCGGTGTGTTTGTGTTATTTGTGTATGAAAATTACGTCGGGAAAGCTCGTCGGCTTGAAGTTTGGGTGCGTGGCGTCGTAGCGGAAAAAAAAAAATATTGAAAAATAATAATTTCTGTAGCGCTAAAAATAATTGTGTTTCCAAATAGCCTCTGAACGGTGATTCCTGCCTTGGGCTTTTTTTTTTTTTTTTTTTTTTTTTTTTTTTTTTTTTTTTTTTTTTTTTTTTTTTTTTTTTTTTTTTTTTTTTTTTTTTTTTTTTTTTTTTNTTTTTTTTTTTTTTTTTTTTTTTTTTTTTTTTTTTTGTGTGTGGTTGTTTTGGGATGTTCTCCCCAATTTTCTATATTTCATCCTATTTCACTTTTTTTTTGAGGGGAGTTTAACTTGACTAATGATGGTTTTAATACTAAAATTGCTGGTGCATCATGCCTGGAACATGGCTGCTCCATCCCTGCCGGTGCATCCAAAGCGTGGATCCGAATCACCCTGGGAAAAAACACATTAAACACGGCTGGGATCTTATTTTTCCCTTTTTTTGTGCTTTAGGATTTGTCTTTGGGGAAGTTTATTTCCAGGATTAGCTCAGGAGGGGGAATTATTGCCCTGGCAGGCACACCTGGAGCGCAGATAAGGATTCATTAATTGAGGTTTCTCTCCACATCCTCGCTGAACTTCCCCGAAGTTTGCCCGCTGGAGCAGCGTGGTGGGGAAGGAAACCTGGGCCTGGCAGTTGTGGTAAATGATGATTGCGGGTTTTTTTTTTCCGAGGGCTGAGTTGCAGGAAACGCTCCCCGATGAATCCTTGTGCCTCTGGGCAGGACACAGCGGCTCGGGTTTCACCGGGGAGCTGCTGCCCTGCACCTGCCCGTGCCCGGGAGTAATCCCGGTGGTGGCTGCGCTCCAGCTCC